GATTCTAAATTTTTTAAACTTAAACGCTGTCTTTTTTTCCCATAAAACCAACCCAGAATAGAGAAAATTCGTTCACATGATGCGCTATAAGGAGTTATTGCAAAAATTTTTTTAGCTAAAATTTTAAAATTATCAAACTTATCTTCAACAAAGCTCCACTACATAAAAGGAGTCATTAGTTGACTATCATATCCGATTTTGTACGGGAATTGTTTTTCTCTAAATTTGATAATTTGGGAAATTAGAGTTTGTGCAGATAATTTATCTTTGTATTCCATTGATTGCTATAATGTTCCAGCATAAAGGGCAGTTTGTGTCCATACTTCTTTTCTTAAACCGGCACCTATAAAAATTTTTTATTATTAATAATTATATTTTTGTACTATAAAATATATAATACTTAAAAAATCTATTTAGATTACAATACCTCGATATTCAGGGTGAAGTATATATGCTAAAATATATGGCTCAGCTTCAAGTTCGTTCCAACGGCTATTGACAATTTCTATACATCGATTTTTAAAAGTAATTGTATCTCTTTCTCTTGGAATATGGTAAATTGTTGAAATTAAACGAACTAGTTGAATAAAGCAGTCTGCCATTGTGCAATTTGCTTTTTCTAACTGCAAAATTGCAGTTCTAATTGGGGCAAAAATTTTGGATATCTGTTCTACATCGTGAAAAAATCCTCGAAACTTTAAAATTCTTTGTACATCTTGATTAGTAATAATATTGGGATGATCATTTAATATCTTAAAAATCATTAATTATATGATATATTAATACTAATATAGTAAACCAAATTTCAAGTATATAATTAATAATAATTACCTTTTCTAATACAGGTTTTAGTCTAAAAACAGAATCTACAGTTTCATAAGCCGATGTCCATCTAGTTTCAATAAAAAGTTTTAATCCACCTCCGTGAATATTAAATTCTTCAATATATTTTTTTAAATAACTTTTAGCTAAATGACTAGCTTTAAAAAAGCGACATATCTTATTACAATACTTTAAAATACGTGCAGGTAATCCACATTTTAAAATATCCTGACTAATTAGATTAACAAAATGAACAATACAACGAAGATTAAAAATAAAGAGATATTTCTGATTAATCTGTCTACGTGCAGCTAAAATAGCTGAAGCATTATCAGAAATTATTCCAATAAATTTTTCAGGTCCAATTTTAATTAAAATTTTTTCAATTTCATCAAAAAGTAAATCAGCCGTATAGCTAACATAAGATAAATCACGAAGGGCATATAAAAATTCTTTATGATCGGAAGTCATTATCATAAAATTATAAATTGAAGCGCCTTGGGGATTTGTCCAACCATCCAATTCTAAATTAAAATAAAATTAATAAAATTGCATAAATTAAAATTTAATGCAGTAATAACATTAAAATTAATTTACCAAGTGTTAAATTATTTGCAGTTTTTAAGTATTCTTCAGTTTCCCAATTAACTTTAATAACTTCTTCATTTAATAAAGTGTTGGCAAGATATTCACGGGTAGGTGGTGTATATGAAGATCGCAGAGATTTAAGTATATCAATAAACCATGGATTCTCAATTATGGAAAATGGAAGCCCACACATAGCAAAAGCCTTAATAATTGCACGATCAACTGCCTCTTTTTTAGAACCAGCCAAAATTTGATTTTCATTTTCCCAATAATCATTAATATTTATTTTCTGTTTTTTAGATTTTGAACCAGATGCTTGGGTTTTTTCTTTTAATTTTTGTCTTTGAATTACAATTTCTTGATATTTTTCTCTTATCTCATTATCAAGATTTTCATCTTCACATTCTTTTGCAAGATGTATCTCAAGCTGATTAGGACGTCCACGATTAAATTGTGTAGAACAATATTTACATTTGGCAGCAAAATGACCAGGCGATTTCAATGGAATTGCAAAAAAATGATCCCAAACAGGGTCTGGTGGTCTTCCTCCAGGATGTTTTGGACGTGCATCTTTCTCAGCTTCTTCAGACGAATATTGGGAAGCCATTCAAGGTGAGTCATAAGTTACTGAAGTTGAATTGCGTGAAGACATTGAAGAAATTATGCAAATCGTGAAAGATGGCTTATGCCAAAATAAATAGATTTTTAAAAATAAAAAAAAAATAAATCGCCAATGAATAAATAACCATTTTAGCATAAGCGAAAACTAAGCTGGTGTGAGAAAATTATGCGAAGCCATTAATGCAAAGAAAAAAAATTATATTTGGCAAAAACGCCAATAAATGAATATTTCATAAATATTCATGATATATATCAATGAATAATTTCAAGATGTTAATTTGATTATAACATATCCATTCTTATGTTTAATTCAAATTAAGAAGCCGATTATTGTTTTTGCCCCAAAATCTTAAAACATTACAACTATTTTTTTATCGTTATAATAAAATTATTCTAATCATTTGCTAAACTTGTTAAGTTTTTGACTTCAGTATGATTACGCTATATCAAGTAAGTCTTTTATTAGATCGATCAGTTATCTGAAGAAAAAAAGCGATAATTTTTTATTTTTACTTTGCAATTTGATTTATCGATTACTAATAATTAACGTCGTATGATCTATCTTATAGATCACGTGCAGCACATTTGCTACAAGACTATTCAGATTAAATTACATATAAAATAGCTGCGCACTAAAAGTTACATGCGACTGGTCGTACGTATATTGTAAAATTCATGACTAAAATGGTAAGCTATAAACGTAATACAAAATATGATTTCAATAGAGGGCGTAAAGACATTTTTGGATTAAATTTAAATGCTGCAAAAAAGTAATGCATAACCGGTATATTTTAGAATTTAGAAGCTACGCACCATAACGATAAGTTTTTATTTAAAAGAAGACATCACAAGGTAATCACCCCGCAATTTATGATTATAAAATATGCATGCGATGTAAATTTTTGTGTAAATAAGTTGTTGAAAATTACTAATATTCTAGAGATGCTATGATATTTTTGGGACAAGGACTTTTTTTTAAATAATGGTTATATATGTCTAAATGTTCTTCGTAGTTGGTTACAAAATGAAAAAAATAGTTATGGAAAGTGAAATACGTAACTCGTATATATACACGTATTTTATACATAAAAAATTCTTTAATAAATACCGTAAAAGTTCATATACAAGATCCCCCATATATCAGACCCACCCCCATTTTTTACTAATTAATTTCTTTTTTTTATTAATTAATTTTTTTGCTGGAATGTAAGAGACCCGGGTCTTGTATATGATCTTTTACGGTAATTCAAATATGGTATCAAGATTGATAAATTTAGAAACCGACCCCTGAAACCTATCACATCATCTTTGATTTTTTATCAGGTATATTTAATGCGGGCTTTTTTAAATAACAACTCCTTATGACCTCATACTTACTCAACCATCCGTTAATCCTTTATCAATACATCATACATATCTCTCTCTTAAATACATCACCCCTTGTCATCAACTTAAAACTTACGATTACCCTGCATCATGGGCCCTTAAAACCAGGATTTTAGTTAAATCGATCTTCATTGGCCCATATGAGTCCTTAGATATATAAAAAACTGGTTTTTATATATATAAAACTGATCGGGTCACTTGTAAGCGTATTTAAATAGCTGCTCGATACGTAAGTATCGAGGCAGCTTTTGTCTCGAATCTACTCACCTGATCGAACATGTGACAAGCC